AAGGACAGAATGAATAATGTCAAGTTTGTCTTCGCTTGGTTGAATAGGTAAAGTGTATTTTGACTTCTTTTTTTACGAGAATTTTTTTTTAGATTTACTTCTTTAATAAAAGGTTAAAAATACGTATCACGATTAGGAGCCATCTTGAACGATTCAACGAGGTATGACCTCGTTTGATCTTCAAAAAAATTCAAAATTTTTGCTTGTTTTCGTATAAAAATGGCTTTTTTAAATATTTATTTGACTTCCAAAACACCACAGAGATAAATTAGGAGCCATTTTGAATCCAAAAAATCGCCAAGATTAAACGAAAGTATGGCTTGGTTTGATCTTCAAAAAATTCAAAATTCCTCCTTTTTTCGATGTAAAAATGGCCTTTATCTGTTTACTTAACTCCCAAAAACACCAGAAAATGAAGGATAATTAGATAAATTATGATGAATTTAGCTTCTAACCTTCCTAGACACGCTATTCATTTAGAGGTGACATCATTTAGCTTTTAAATGTATCCTGAAAGAAATTTTTTTTGATGATTCTAAGAAATTCAACTGTTTAATTTCAATTCTATAGTATAAGGAAAGATTTAATGAAGTTTTTAAAAGTATAAATTGCGAAATTTTGCTTTTGTATCGTTAGAAATGATCAGGATAACAGAGAAGAAAAGAGGGTGCCAATTATCTGATTCAATATTTAATTCTATACCTTTAGTCATTTAAACAAGGTCTTTTTTAGAATTTTATGAAGAATTAATTTCCTATTTCTCTATAGATTCTAAAAAAAAAATCACACGCTCATACACTCTTAACGATCCTAACGTGAAGAATTCCAATAACAAAAATACATCTGTACTTTATTTCATATCATTGTTTTTGTTTTTTATAGATATTTCGGGGGATTTTTTTTACTCTAACGTGTAATTTTTGAAGCATTAACCTCCTCCAGACGTCAGTAATGAAGGCTTTCGGGGGTATTTAACTCACCCTACTCTCATTAAGGTAGAGAGACGACATAATGGCATCCATCTCTCGACTTTTTATAACTAGATTTTTCTCAATTTTTGTATTATTTAATGATGTTTTTTTTCGTATATATATATATATATATATATATATATATATATAACATTGTTCTATAATCCTTAACATACATTTGTCTGTCCAGCTAACTAAAAAACACAGTATGAAGTTGTCTTAAAACAAATATTGAAAATGGCTAGATCTCGTTTCATTCACCAGCTGTGAATACCTGGATGAGAATAAATCAATATTATCCAACAATTGCTTAAAAATATCAAAAGGATTATGAATATTGTATAAAAATAAACTTCAAATATCTCTAATGAAAAGCAACAATAAAACTATGATTTAAGATATTTCCATATTGCTTGATTTGGCATTATCTTTTGTGGTTTGCTTTGATTTTATTTGAGGATTATTAGCTGTGTGATTAATTCTTACTCCTTTACCCAGGATTATTCAGCAACAGAAACCAATGTCTTAATTAATATTGATATGCATAATTGCCCTGAAAAATATATATAAGGTGCGTTCCATAAGTAATGCGACTAATTTTTTCACGACACGATGATATGTTGTAGCTAGTTCTAACCTGCTATGCTAGGTGGTGTGGGATGTTAGCTTCAAAACTTGCCCAGTCTTGTTTGCCTCCAAGCTGCCAGCATGTGAGAACGTTCATTCCCGTGAACCCCATTTTGAGTTAATGTAACATGGAGCGATGGATCATTTTGGGGAGCAACGTTACACTATCAAATTTTGCGTTAAACTTGAGAAGTCCGCCACTGAAACTTTTACATTAATTCAGCAGGCCTTTGGGAGTGATTGCTTCTCCACAAGTCTTCGATGGCACAAGTCGTTCAAGGATGACCAAGAGGAGGTCACCAACAAACCTTGCAGTGGACGTCCATCAACCTCCCGAATTGTCTTCTTTGACGTCAGAGGCATTAACCACCACGAATTAACCACCACCACCTGTCAGGACCACTGTAAATGCAGCTTTCTTCTTGGAAGTGTTCAAAAGACTGAAATCCTAGTCACACGCTGCTGAAGTGACATCAAGGGGACACGGAAACTTCATCACAACAACGCGCCAGGCCACAGCACCTTCACTGTCGACAGTTTCCTGGCCAGGACACATACCCCATTGGTTCCACAGCCACCTTACAGTCCTGACCTGGCTCTCGCCAACTTTTTTTGTTTCCCTGCATGAAAGGGAAACATTTGGACACAATGTAAGGAACCAAGTCCGAGCATTATTTTTATTTACTTTTATTTTGCTTTTTATTATATTTTTGTTTGGGGCTTATGTTTTGTTAGGACGAAGGTTTCCTAACCATTCACCTTAGAAACTTAAAAATAGAAGCAACGAGAGAAAAGCACCATAGAAAGAACTCACCAACGAGAGAAAAGCACCATAGAAAGAACTCGCACAACCTTGCGCTCCCGAGTGGAAAAAAGTAAGTCCGTACCGAGAAAAGGGGGGAGCCCCACAAGCACAACTTTGGGACTCGCTAAACCTTAAAGAATAAAAACATCCCGAAAATTGTCAAAAAGAATAATGTAAAATGTTAGTGAGTTTTGTTGGAAAATAGGCTGCCAGACAAATAGAAAAAGTTTATTGTTAGCAAATAAGTATGTAAATGAGGGGAGTGATCGCATTCAGAGTTGTGACGTCACCTCACAACTCACAGTATAAAGTCCGAATCTCAAGTGAAGATGGACAAGGTGAGCTTCTGTTATCAACGAGCTTGGTGACCTTCGGAGCAGCAAACAAAAGAGAGGTGTCCGATAGGATAAAATAATTCCAAGGCGCTTTTGAAGTTATTCGATTTGTGGATCAAAGATTAGAGAAAGTCTTGAGAGTTGAGGAAAAAAGTTGCTAGTATTCAATATACTAGGAACTTTTTTCCTCAACTCTCAATCGATTAGGATCTTTAATCATAAGAATTATTGTACATAAATTAAGTCTCTGAATTTTGTCGAATTCCAAAAGGGAATAGAGTTAAGTTAGAAAATAGACTGATTTGAGTTTTGTCGGGTTGATTCTTATTGAGTTTCATTGAATAAATTGTTACTTGATTTTTACTAATTATTGTATATAGTTTATTACTAGAACTTTTATTAAATATTTGATTTGTTTTTGACAAACTTTGTCATTATTTAATCTGGTGCGCTCTTAGTCCAGGCCTGGCACACTAACGCGAATCCGCGTAAAGTACCCATTAGGGAACGGCTATTTCCGGCACACAGTCGTGTCGATAATCATTGTAGAAAGTTGAAAAAAAAAATATAGTACTTTACAACAATTGAAAACATCAAGGTTTATGTTACATCAGCTCTAAAGGACATTCTGGAGAAGGCCTTCCAGAATGCCTTCCAGGCCTGGAAACACCGCCTTCACAAGTGTATTGATGCAGGAGGGTGCTATTTCGAAGATTTTTGAGTAATTGTAAAAATATGTTCAATAAATGATTCTTTATGAATTTAGTATCATTTCTTATGGAACTCACCTTATATTTATTATCCTGCATTTCCTGGATCCAGAAATGCTGACATTTGTGCCTAGAGCTTATCACTTGAACTTAGTTAGGCAGAAAACATCAGATGCTTGATTATGATAGGTGGGCATATTCACAGTGATTTCTCATTTGCACTTATTGCTCTGTTGCATAGTCTTTTTCTTTTTTTTGTTCCACTCTAGTCCACATTGAACTGTTAAAAAGTTGGTAATCTTACTTAAAAACTCAGACTTTTGCAATAAATTGCCTAAACAAATATTACAAGTATTATTTTATGAAATAGTTCATCAAATTAAAAATATTTTAGGAAGCAGTTTTATTGAACTTGTGCAAACTGCCTGAATCCTATCACTTATAAGGTTAGAAGATATTGTGTATGATTGTTGACATAGTTTCTACATTCATCTTGTCCTACCTCTAACTCTGCTTCCAAACTTACACAAGCTTATTTGCAATGATGGAGACAAGTTTTCCATCTCGAGAAGTTGGGGGTCTATGCTGTTCTGCTGGAAAATCTTTCAACGGGATTAAACACAAGATATATCGGGGCCACTACTAGAATGCTTGCCAGCCACCTTGTGGAGCACCAAGAGGACGTTGTGAGGGATAGGCACACCACAGAGCTGACAAAAAAGGTACTCGACCAGGTTTACAACCCACTATGGTCCCAAGCAATTATGCTCAGGAGCTGTAAAGATTGAAAAATTGTTTTCATATGGGAATCTCTCTTGATTAACTACCACCTTCGATGCATGCAACACTCCTACCCTTGATCTGCCCGTTGTATGGGTCACACTGTATAAGTGATTAAGCAACTATTAGCATTCTCCAGTATTCGTATAGTGTGATCATGGATTCGCGCATGCACCGCTGCAAATGTCATGGAGTTTACTGCTCGTTCAGTTTTCGAGCATATTTGAATATTTGTTTGTGTTCTTAACAGCTTTCATAAAAACTTCAAGTTAAAATTTTAAAGCGTTCTATTATATATTCGGATTCTTTCCATTTAACTTCTCGGTAAATTTCTGATTTTTGCCTGATGACGACGACTATAAGTTCGTCAATATCAGTCATAGTGCTTGCAATAAAAAACGTACATGTAACGCCATCCTCAGTGTCTTCTCCATTTAGTATACAATATTTGGCATGAAAATCATCATATTGATCACTAAGATTGAAATGATATTATATATATAAAAAATGAGGATATTCCTTAGAGAACTGTTGCCAGTTACTCTTATGTAAAGAGAATTTTGGAGTACAGTTTTAGACCTGGTATTGAATTAGAGCAATAATTAAAAAACTTATTGAGTCCAATAATTCAGATACTTGTATCCAAAACATTTATCAGCGTTTCAAGTTGTTCATATTTAAAAAGTTCTTGGAGTGCAAACAGTTGATATTGTAAATTTTATTTTTCTAAGTCCTGTTTTGTTGTTTACTACTAACTTTTATAATAATTGAATTTTTTTTTTCTTTTTAATATTTAGATGGAGACTATAAATCCTGGACATTCAGATTCTGGTCACAATGGAGATGTACATGATTTAGATACAGATCAAGAATCTCCTACACTGGATACAGTTTCAGGATTTTCTACTTGTTCCTCTCCACTACCTCCAGAACCTTTTGAACCAAGATATACAGTAAAATTTACTGGAAATGTCACAAAGGATGGCGATATTGTAAAATACACAATAAAAACCCAAAGGGTAAGTATTCAAATATAAAAAATGCTTAACAGATTTTGACTATATATATCCACTGGACTCTGTCTCTCTGTGCCAACTGTGCCACTGGACTAGTCTGTCTCTCTGTGCCAACTATTGGATAAAATTATCAGTTTTGATACACCAGCATAAACTTTATACTTTAGTGTACATTTAATTCCATTTAAGAGAAACCCAGTTAACAGTTAATATCAGCCTTTTATGTGGTTTGAAATATATCTTATAAAGTGTACTAAACACTATTTGTTAATGGCAGTCTCTCTTTTGCTTACCTCCCAGAAGTAATGTTATTGCTTCAATAAAGTTTAAATAAAATTTAAGTGTAATCTTGAAAAATTGGGAAATAATTGCAAACCTTACTCAGAGTCAAATTTTTTATTATCAAATCAATGGTCATCAATACTAAGAAAAGACCACGTGATGCCAGTGGTCAGTGTGTTAGGAGAAGAAAGGATATTCATCATCAGCGTGTGAAGGGTCTTGTACATATGGTCCTAGTAGTATACAATGTTCTTTGTTAAATAAAACTTTCATTCAGTTACCTTGGCATTGTTTGTCTTATCTGTGCTACAGCATCACTGGCAAACACAAAATTCCAAGACAACCACAACAAGCTTTAACCATAACATATATACAATATTACTAATTTGGCACTAAAAGTAGGCATGTCATCATCTATCAATAATTTTGGTGATTAATTAAATAATTCAGATCAGTTAAATTTTAAAGAATGTGGAAAAATAATGACACAGATCTGGATTTGAATCTGCAGCTTTTGTTTACCACACAAATTTGTTGTCAGTTACCATCTGTAATTGCAGATTTTGTTTTGACTGTGTCTGATCAATAAGTGTTCTAAAGAATTCTTTTTAAAAGCATGTAATTATACTAGTAATATCCAGCAAAATAATGTATTGATAGTTCCTTAATAATAATAACAAACTTTTTTGATGATTTTTAATCATCAAAAATCTTTTTCTATAATTAAAATAGCTAATTTAAGTAATTATTATTATAATATATACTAGATAACATTTCTATTTTTTAGGTTAAGTGTTAATAACATAGTAATGTATATTTTGCAGGGGTTGTATGCAGTGGTGATATTCAACAGGTTCGCACAGGTTCAGCTGAACCCGTTGTTAACATTTTCAAAGTTTTTCCGAACCCGTTGTTAAACACACGTAACATTTCTCAGTGGTTTTGTTTCTTTTAAAAAATATATTAAAATATACATATTATACTCTGTAACACTACTAAACTAGAGCCTTATACCCTGTTCGCCTGGTGCAACCTCCATCGACTGTTTCAATCTCGACTGAAACGAGGTTTACTCGCAATCGACTCTAGAGAGTTCTCGTAACTAGATCCAGTCGTAAGAGAGATCCCACAATCCCACGCGCGTGAGAAAATACAAGGTGGCTGCGGAACACATGTTGAGCTATTGACAGTGAAATAAGAAAGATATTGTATTTTGAGAGACGATGACATCTGTCTATTATTATAATAATACCTAACGATAAAATAAATGATTTAGAAAAGTTTTTCTTGTTTAACTGCTTTCCCTATGACTTTTTCTGATTAAAAAAAAAGCCAATTTTTATGTTTATAAAATACTTTGAATGAAAAATATTAAAATATGTACAAAATACACCATTTTGAATACTCTTTTTTATTATTTATAAAAAAATATAGTTCTGGCATAAACAATGTTAAATTATAACTGACTTAATTTTGCGAACACACTTTTTTTATTTATATGGGTATCTTAAGGTCAGTTTTTTGCACTAATGTTGCTAATGCACCATTTGAGCGAAAAAAAAATTAAGGAAAAATTTTCTGTTAGCGAACCCTTTGTTAAATATTTCAAATATCACCACTGGTTGTATGTTTGAGTCCCATTCTGTGTTAATCTTTTGTTTCAGATACTTCTAAATTAATTTAACAAGTTGTAAAATTAAATTTTAATTATTAAGATTTTGATAATTGTTGCAGTAGACTTGAACTTTGAATACGAAATGTTTTAAATTTGGTGGGCTTGAAGAACTCCATAAACATTTATCAGTACTATGCTCCTAATCTACTAATAAATTTTTATCAGTTATGAATACTTTGATAATTGAGGAATGCTACTACAAAAATATCAATTTAACAAACTATTTTAAATTCATGAAAGTATATAGGTTATGATTTTTATTGAATTGAAATTCTTGAAGTTTAATGAATATCTCTATTTGAAACTTCTAATATATCAAATTTTGTTCTAATCAATTTATCAAATCTTTTGAATTGACAACTTTGAGCAAAATGTTTTCAAAAATTTTGAGAAAAAATAAGTTCAAACAACATTGATGTATATCAATGTTGTTTGAACTTATTTTTTCAAATGTGTAAAAGTTTTCACTGATGCTATTCAGATTCCGAAGATATGCCCATCAGGTACTTATATGAATATAGAATGAAGCACATTATTTATTGCTTCATAAGTTGTAAGAGTCATCCTCATGACGTTTAATTCTCCTTATTATCTTGGAATAATATGCATATCTTTATAAATTATGTGACAATAAATAACTACTATGATTATATAGTGCAATCAAAAAGTCTCACTGTAGATGCTTGTAGTTTTATGCAAGCCCATTATGTCAGATATCCTCATTGATATTTTTGAAAACAAATCAAGAGGAATTTCTGTTTGTCTGGAGAATGACAGAAGATATTTTTACACTTGCTGTAAAGACTTTACCATATTTTTCACTATAAGATGCTTTTTTTTTAATCTAAAATTTATCTGAAAATTAAGATGCATTCTACAAGCCAAATGCATATTAAACTGTGAAGAATATTTTTTATTCCAAAAAGTGATATGAAAAAAGTGACACATTCAATACATCAGTGCATCTTTATCAAACAAAAATATCTGACATGTAAAAAACTTGTGCCAAGTAAAAACTTATGACAATTTAGATGATGATCAAAATTATTCTTTGGATTTTTCTTTAGTAAAGATAAGTGTGACACTTTGAAGCAAAATGTAGGAAAAAATAACATGTTTAAAAATTTTGTGGAAGCTTTGAGGCACCAAGCTTATCTTTAGTGAAGAAAATCTAAGAAAAATTTTGACTGTCATGTAAATTTTAAGTTTTTACATGATGCAATTCTTTTATATCTCAGATTTTTTGTTTGGGTATCAATTGTTTTTTGTTTAATAATTGTATAATTATGTCAAGACATAAGACAATGATGTACAATTCTGTTGCAAACAAACATGCTGCAGACCAAATACACTGCTAACTGAATGCTTTCAATATTCATTTCAGTCAGCCCCAACTGAATGCTTTTGATATGCCATTTAAAAAAATCATTATAGAAAGTTTTAATTAATTGGTGTAAATTTGAGTTTTTGTTGTTCTGGATATCATTTTGAACGAAAATCATTTGTTTCCATGCGGTTTTATCTTTCAACTTAGCTCTGTGGGAAATCCCTGTGAAGTTTGATCTATCGACCCAGAAGTTTCTTGAGCACCTTACTAAGAATGAGAAAGTTTTAAGTTTAAAATTTTGAGCTTTCTAGACCCAAATAGTTTTTCTCTAAGAGAGTCTGTAGTGCCAGATGAAGAAAAAGAAGAAAATACAGCTTTTCTGGCAATTTTTCACTTTTCAATTGCTTATATTTCAGCAACTATTTTACAGAAAATTTTGAAACTTTGCACACTACCTAAGAAAAAAATTATTTTTTGAATGAGATATTCAGAATTACTGCAGATGTTTGGAGGGCAGAGAAATTGACCCCCAAATGTTGGAAACTCTGATTTCTGTATGTGTAGTCAGTCAGTGACTTTTTTACTCAGCACAGAGTCACTGCTGTGACTCCTGAAAAGGTAAAAATTTCAGTTATTACAATCAATTAAACTAATATTGTTGTATTACATTATAATCTGTTACATTCATATCATTAAAGCACTAAAATCATTGCTAAGAGAATTTTCAATCATCTTGTATAAAGGTGTAAAATATATTTCTCTGAAAGAACTCAGCTTGGAGTTTTGATAATGTAACTGACATTCTTACCTAATATGCAACTCGTAAATGTTGTTAAGCATTGCAGATTCAAATACCACTCTTACAGATGGTTTTAGATGTATTGGAATTCAAATTTGCTAGTAATGCTATCAAACAGATGATTCGTGTACTTGTAACTTTATAAATTATGGTTCATGGATTTCAACTATGTATATAATCACTTGATGACTTAAGGTATAACTTAAGGTAACTGTTAAGGTTACTAATTTTATTCAATGATAGAATTTATAATTATTACAATAGATTATTAAAATAATATTTTCTAGATTTAAATTCTAATAATAAATTCAGAAATTTTTAAAATGATTATTTTCAGGTGATTGGGGATGGAACGGAATACATAATTCAGCGTCGTTATGAAGATTTTGAGTGGTTGGAGCATTGCTTGGTTACATCAAATAATATACATGGAATTATTGTAATTAAAATCAAATTTTTCTGTACTTTTTCAATTATTTAATTTCAGTAATAAGTGATCAAATAACCTGATATGAAAAAACAAGTTATTTATAAATTAAATAGTAATATAAGTTTCCCTGCCTTAAGAATGCAATATTTTCCTGAAAAATCTGACATAAGATAAATTTTCATTAATTAGAAATGTAAGTTGTCATTGATTTCAATAGAGAAAACTCATTTAAATGTTCCTTGGCTTGTTGGAAATCCACCCATTTTTGTTGGTGTATAACAAAGGGGCATGAAAATATAATATTACACAAGTAGATATGATGATAAAAGACATCCAATATAAATAAATTGCAATAAAGACACAAGTTCAAACTTGAAGTGCAGGGAACATAACTGCCAAGAACAACACAGTGCCATTACCAAGATGTGTGTTACTGCTGGGAATTTGAAAGTTGAGTTTGCTCTTTCTTATATTTCTCATTTATGAAAAATATGTCCTCAGGATTCTTTGTAGGCAAGGGAAAGATACTAAATCACTTTCTTCGTATTCATGGGTTTTTGTGAATTAAATATTGTAAGGCAGGAATCTTGTAATTTGATGATTTTAAATAATGTTATTTAATAACAGTATTTAAAATCATCTAGAATTACTGCTATTAACTGTTAAACTTACTGATGCAAACATGTTTTGTTTATATTATCCAGCTTTGATAATTAATATCCACATACCTAGTTCGATAATTAATTAATTAATGTTCAAACTTAATACTGGTAAGTTTAGAATTATTAAATAATAATAATAATTTAATATTAAAGAAAAAATTTTGAATATTAAGTATTACAAATTATGTCCAAAACTATCAATATAATGTTTTATATTTATATAACTTTTATATTTTCAATACATATTCTATTATAAGCATGCTCTCATTGTTGTTAAATATTTTTATACAATCATTTTTATCATCTATCATATCAATACTTTTCATAAATTATATATTTGGTGATTTCACTCATATCTGATATCTTCTCATATTTGGTGATTTTGGAAAAAGCATCTCGTATACTTTCAATGCTTTTATGAAAAACTGGACAATTATTACTGGACTATGAATTAGTTAATATTATTTTGTGATATTTTATTTCATATATTTGTATCTGTTTTAATTTTATACATCTTAAAATGCAACCGAATCTTTATACAATTTTATATTTTACATCTTTGTATTTTATTTCTAATTATTTAAAAATTTGAAATTAGTGCCTTATATGTTAGAATGTTGTTGATCTGAGGCAGATCTTGTGTAAGATTGAAAATGTTTGTTGAATTTACATTAAAATTATTTACTGGATTGTAAAGGTTTTGTTTGCTGTACTTAGCATTACATTACATTTCAAGTAAATGAATAAGTCCAAAGTTTAACATCTGACAATTGCTTTTTTGCTCTCTAAACAGAAAAAGGCATAAATTTAAATTCTGTATTTAATAATTTTACTTTATACATTGTACTTTAAACTTTTTATATGCCTATTATGGAATATTTCTATATAAAGGATTTACAAATGGTATTAAGGCTTAAGAATTTTAAAATTGTGGTATTTTTGAAAATTGTTTAAAATTTTTTATCATTAGTAACTCCTTAAGAATAGTTAAATTACTATGTATCTTAATCATTAGTCTGAATCCAGTCCATGGCACCAGTAATCTGATCTGCAAATATATTTGAAACATCACTTATAAATGATAAAAATTGTCCTACTTTTTGTATATATGGAGTATAGGAAATATTTGGAGTCCCTACCTACAGTTTGTGTAATTGGGCTCTCAGTCGAAAAGTCTTGGTTTCACTAATTTAAGGGTTGGTGGAAAAATTTATTTTTATTATGTTCAAAAATAATACAATAATTTTTTAGTATGGTTTCATGTTGAATCATATAGTATCTGTTGAATTTATGGTTTCAGCATTTTAAATAATGTTTACATATTATCAAACATTCAGTGTAAAAAACAAATTTTTATATTTGAACAGGAAATTTCATTATTTTTAGTTTTCTCTCTCTCAGAACAAAACTGTTATAACATGTACAGTCAATCTCCCTATAACACTGTTGATTATTCCGTTTTATATGAATTCCATGTTGTATGAGTCACTTAGATTTTACAAATATGTGAGCCATTCACAATCTGGCACAAGTATTTGTAAAATCTAAGTGACTCGTACAACATGGAATTTATATAAAACAGAATTATCAACAGTGTTATAGGGGGATCGACTGTAATTCTTTTGTTTGACCTTTAGACATTTGCATTCATTTTAGAAATGCAATATCTGGTAATTGGAAACTGCTTATATAATGAGACCAAGTATCAACACTATTATTAATTAAAATTTCAATAATAATTTAATTTAAATGTTGAAGTTTGAGTTATGTTAAATAACTGAATGAGAAGCTTGAATATCTATTGATGTTATCATCAAATAGGTTGAATGGAATTCTTCATCAAAGTAACAGTTATGATATCGTGGAGAATGGAAGAGTTTTATATTTTTAGTCAGGCATCAGAGTTCTTAGTATGTAACAATAGGAATGAATGAACAATAGAGTCAATATATTTATCAAACAGTTCATAAATTCATAAAGCAGTTGTTGCTCAAATTAAAGCTGTAATGCAGTGGTTCTCAAACTGTGGATTCAAAACACTTTCTAGAAGATGCAAAGAAATGATCAAATATTGTTTATTTTAGAGTACTGTACATCTCTCAAATGTACTTGATATTCTATCCACTAATTTGAATAGAATACTGTAGCAAACAGTTGCTACAGTATTATCCTATTAAACTTTTTCTAGCCTTTTTAATTTAAAGAGTTATTTTTATCCTAGATACTTTGCACTTTACTTTGACTACATACTACATCATACACAATATTATGCAGGGTAATTATTTAGTAACTAATCATTTATATGTTTACTAATGTTTAGTGAAAAATCAAGTGAACTTTGTTGTATTTCCTATTTATTTCAGTGTAAGTTAAAATGTAAAGCATTAAATTTATTTGTAGAATTTTGTTGGATGGCAATTTTACTAAAATTAATTTGAAGACCATTTATTCACTTCTTGTGTTCCAGAATACAAACAATTGATGGCCTGACCTTTCTTTTTAGGCTGCTTGGTCATCAAGTTTAAAAACATTCCTTTAAAAAACACAGAAATGCATCCAATTAAAATTATAAAGTTAAAATTGGAACTGGCGGATCTTAGATGTCTTTGTTTTTCTTCCCATTCGGGGATTTTCAGGCTTTATATCTACTGAGGAAAATGCGCTGGTAAATGTAGATTATCATTGCTTCCCCTGATGATGAATCTTTGCAAGAGTTTCAATTGCAGAATTTTGTCGGATGGCAATTTTACTAAAATTAATTTGAAGACAGTCAGGTCGTCAATTGTTTGTATTCTGGAACACATGAAGTGAATAAATTAGGTTGATGAGAAGGTGAAATTGAAGGTGGTTACCAATTTTGGACAGACTATGTCTTGAAATTAATTTCATTGAGTTTATATTAATCATGCAGTTTTAAAAATTTGGAATGACTTTTACATTAGTTCTTATATAATAATTTTTAAAACAAATTTTCTATTTTTGCAGTTATTGGAATATGCATTGCTTTATGTACTTTATATAGTAAAATATAACTTAATCCTAAATCTTCATGAAAAAATTGCATTGTAATTTCAAAAGAATATTTGAAAGAACATTATATGATTATTTTAAATTACTAAATAATTTAAATTAATCATGATGTAATAGCCTGATATAATTCAGTAGTAGTTGGCAAGTTACATACATATATCAGGTTTATGGATGTTGGTTTCTATTTGAAAGAATTTTTCTTTATTCTACTAATTTTATTTTAACAACAAAATGCATCAGAAATATATTGGAGTTTTCTTAATATTCATATATTATATTTATTTTAATATTTTTATGGCAATATTATATTCGAGTTGATTGAATTAAATTCTATTTTCTTTTGAATGCATTGTTTATGTGAATTTGGATATACTTATACTTAATAAAACAAGTTTATGATAAAAGTAAAGTAATTTTAATTTTATAACCTTTAGTATTCTATTATGCAGATACCACCTCTACCTCCTCGACCACCCATAACTTCAGAAATGGCTGAAGCTAAATCCAAAAAACAACTAGGAAGCAATACAAAAACATTAATTGGTGATGAATTTCATAAAGACTGCAGGCAGTTAGAACAGTAAGAATCTATGTTTTAAGTACTTGGTATAAAAATATGAAAAGTCAGTTTATTATTATGTGTATGTGACAGCTTCCTAATTTGATTTCTGTGGAATATATTTAAAACTTAAGATCATAGATTTTTAAAATAAAGCAATAGCATAATTTTATAGTAATAAGAATAATAATAATAATTTAGAATATCAATTTTTTTTTTGTCTACAATATCTTAGGTTATGGATATGTTTTTAATATTTATATTAACTTAATTTTTAGCAATTATTTAAATGAATAAAATATGCTTAGATACATCAGTATAATTTTACAATAATTTTAATTTTAGGTACTTAAGATTATTATTAAATCATCCTTTATTTGGTTGTGAAGATGTGTTGGAAAAATTTTTAACTGAGAAAGAAGTAAGTTTTAAATATTTTATCATTAGCAATTTTAATTTAAATGAGAAACACACTATTGATATTAATGTTTTTAGTCTTTGGTCTTAATTTATTAAATTAGAGTAAAGATATTTTAAAAAAAAGAAAATAAAAGATGGCTTATTAAGGTTTGTTATGGTTTTTGTGAAATTTTTACGACTTAAAATTAGGAAATGAGGCATTTAATCTGATATTAAAGTTCTATAAAGTAATACTAAACCTGATCCATGGAAGATATCTTTATTCAAGTATAAGTAAAGAAAAATATATTTAAAAGTTCGTTGCAATATCAAATGATAAAATCAAACAAAATAAATAATTTGTTAGCTGTGTTTTTTCCTATTTCAATTTCTTTAAATTGACTTATGAAAAACTTTCTACATAAATTTTTATTTACATGTACATTCACATATAAAATTTAGAGTTATAACCTGTTCCAGCAACAATTTCTTTATTTATTAAATGTTTTTAATTTTCTAAGTAGAAATAAAAAAATTTTTGCTGGAACAGGCTATAAGGATGGATGCACACATGTGGTGTGACAGCAAAAAGCAGTGTAGCACAACCACACAAGTGACAATCTGCTTAGATTTTGACACGTATGGTATTCAAGATAGCGAATGATACCAACATTGTATTATTTTTGTTTACAAATTTAAATTTTGTATGGCTTGCTTTATTTAACTAGAAGACATTGAAGGTTTTGGATTAGATTCCTCAATTAACATCTCTTGATAAAGAATACAGTACTATTTTGAGTAAGATTTGTTTGTTTTGCCCTTCAAATTAAATTATATATGATTATTTTTTTAGAATTTGTGTTAAATTTATTTTCTTTTCATTGTAATGTCAGTTATCTCAATTAAGCTCGTTGAATTTTCCACCATTAAAACAAGTGATTCTCTTCTTGTGTGACTGCAAAATGAATTATTATTGACTGATAGAAATTTCTTGATGGCAGCCCTTTGTTGCTATGCTGCATGTGTGCATCCACCCTAATGATTTACTCCAGTAAAGAAGTTTATTAACATTCACATATATACATTAAGCAATTTTTATTCATTAATTTTATTTTTTAATCTAATTTTGTTGGAATAATTGATCTCACATTCTTTGATTTGTATTAACAGAATTCGTAAACCTCTTGTGCCTATGGCACCACACTATCAAAAATAATTAAAATGCTTACCTCAGGTAGCCAATTTTATTTACTGCAAGTAATGCTTTTTATTCCTATTTCAGAACATCTTCACTTTCAATTATTTTTGAAAAGAATTTCAGTTATATTCAGGGCTTTGGAGTTGGTAAAAACAAAAAACACTTGACTCCGACTATGACTCTGTGAGATCCGACTTCAGAGTAAGGCCAAAATTGTTCATTTCCCCCCTAAATTTTCGACGTATGTGAAATAAATTTGTCATCTCCTCATTAAAATAACATTGTCGGAAAAAAGAATCAAATATCTTTATAACTTTCCTTGTTAATATAAACATTCAACCCTCAAACAATGACATTCTTCTGCTGCAAGATGAAAAGTTTATAGTTAAAGTCCGAATTCATCATTTTGTTGTGGTCCCGGGAACAACTTTAACCTCCACCTGCAGAACCAACTCTACCTCTCACAATAGGGAATCACATGACTAATTTCCCCAGCCCGAAGCTATAAAAGCAACTGCTTTCCCCTCCTTGGGGGAGTCTCACATCTACGGCCGTCGGAAAGGGTTAAGTCTCGGAGGAATTTCTAATCTTGTGCGTCGATCACCGGCAAAAAGGACTAAATTTTTCCCATCTACGTGGAAGTATACTAGAGATATGGAGCAGTTAATGTAAACTCTCTCTCCATGAGTTAGGAGCTAGCGAACTAAATTCATTTCTCAAGATGTTAGAGTTTGTAATCGTTAATTTACGTTAATCTAATAAATTGTTGTTTTCATTGTTAACTGGTGTCATTTACTCGCATATTGCCTACACCTAATCGACGACCTCTCTCACCTCCTCCACTCGACCTGACAAAACGAATCCTGACCCTTTGGGCCCGCATTCAAAATTTAGCCATCTTGACAAGTGAGCAAGTTTAACGACCTATAGCTGGAAAGGGAGACCTCCAACCTCCCTGGCGGTTCATAACTCCGTCTCCTGATAATTTTAGTAGACTGACTCTGACTCTCAATTCTGGCAAAATTAAATACCAAGTCATTTTATGGGGTGCACAGGAGCTCACAGGGGGTTACCCTATTCTGAAATCTGAAAAGAACCCCAGGCATTTACCCAAATACTTTTATAGTTAGTATTTTTAATATTTAACTTACATTAATACTGTAAGGTCTCGTTTTATGCGGTGGATACGTTCTACAGAAAAGCGCATATAAAAAATTCGCATAAAAAAAGACTTTACTTGCCTTGAAAAAGTAGGGATACGTTCCGTAATTTTCTAAAATCGCATAAAACCAAAACGAGTTAAAATTAACTTAAAACCACATAAAAAAGTTTGCAGAAATTAATTTAATTTTTTATCCTTTAACGCCCATTGACGAGAAAACTCATCAAGTTTACATAGCGTTACGAAAAACTCGGTAGTTAAGGCCACTTTTGACAAAAATTTTTTTTTTCAATTTTTGGAATGTTTTTTAGGTCCACAAATTTTTGCAAAAATTTTTACCCGCGCAAAAAAATTTTATCGCTATTTTAATTAGCCTTTGATAAGGCTTGATTAAGGCTTAATTGTTTTTTAATGGGAGTGTTTTATCAAATTTAATTAATCGTTCTAAAGTTGTAGTGCACGGATTTGACTTCGGTAAAGTTATTTAAAGCTGCTTTCTGATGTCAAAAACGACTTCCAATAGTTTTTAAATTTTTTAAATTAATATATTTTATTTTATATAAATTTAATTAATTAGGGGGGTCCNATTACGAATGTACGTATACATTTAATGGCTTTATTTTAAAGCAATATAAAGATGAAGGCGTATTTGGGAATTAATATAATTGCATATTTTTTTTAAAAAAATGCATATAATTGTAACCAGTATTTACAAGTTTCCTGTGTAGATATAAAATTATTATGGATGTTTCTGTGCAATTGCAATCATTTAAAACTTTGCTAGGTTATATTTAAATAGTGTTTATACGTATAAATACGTACAGGAGAGAATATTAAAGTAAATATAATTACCTTGCTACGTGGACACGTTTCTAAACAATATAAAAGATGCATAAGGTATCGGGTTGGAAAACAGAAGGTCGTCTTATCATTTCCAATGTCAACTAGCTTAAACTTACGGTCGTTCACTCGTTACCACGTCTTAACAAAGACTTGCATACCTTTAAATTGAGTCAAAGATAAATAAATAATATATTAACCATTATTAAATTAGTTTACAATTTCATAATAAAAGTATAATTACGCTATAGTTTGTTTTTTTTTTCTTTCTTTCTTTTATTGTTTTATATTCATTTAAGTCCTTAATGGCGTACACCTACAAGTTCCTCCTTTTAAGGTAAAAGTGTTTGTTGTAAGGTTGACCTTCGTTATTGGCCTTTGACGTCCAGTCGAGGAAGGCTGGTTCAACCTGTTTATCCATTTCTGCATCTTTATTCTGCCTTGTAAACGTTCTTAGAAATATCTAAAACTTTAAATCGGATTCAAGGACGAATTCAAATTTTTAAATTTCTAATTACAAGCCCGTTCCTATCAATAACAATATCAAATTTACGTAAACGTTTTTCCTTCTCCGGGAAAAACGGAATAAAAAATCTAAATAAATTTAAAATGCTAGAGTTGACACATTTTTCCCAACTGACTCCTCTGGCCAGAAATTCTCCCAACTCTGACTTCACAGTCAATAGGAATGATTTTTTGCCGGAAGAAGGACTCAGAAGGGGTCTGAAAGCGTTCCTATTGACTGATAGATTGTGCTTTGCACTGGTTAAAGATTTTATGAACAGTGTTTTGTATAATATACTCCGGTGTGTGGTGATTCGTTATTTCTGTAATAGCAGTACGAGGTCTGTTCAAAAAGTATCGGACCTTTGGTTGGCAAAAATACATTTATTGATTTTGAGGTACAAAACCCTAATCCCCTTTAAAGTAGTCTCCTTGGTAGTGTATACACTTCTCCCAGCGTTCCTGCCATTGCTGGAAACATTGCTGGAACGCATCTTTTGGAATGGCCATCAGCTGGTCTGTCACATTCCGCACGATGTCTTCTCTCGACTAAAATTGGGTTTCTTTTAGCGGCATTTTCAGCTTGGGAAATAGCCAAAAGACAACGAAGGACCTCCTGGTAGTATTCCTTTGCGATGGTTTGGCCTTGTGGTGCGTAGTTACGATACACCACCCAACGAGAGTCGAAAAAACTGTCAACATGACCGTGATATTGCTGCGGACCTGCCGCGCTTTTTTTGGCCTCGAGGATCGTCCCCGAAAGCCTGCTGAATCTTGTGAATGGTTTACGCTTGGGTATCACCAAGGTTTTTGGCAAAATTTGATGTAATATCGCTGCTCACGTTGTTCAGTCATTTTCCAACTTAGTGGAATTTGACGAGAGCTCGCTACATGACCTCACTGATAGGCCGACTGCCAATGACTGACGCTTCCTGCAGGCAGGAAAAAATTCAGGACTGTGCATGACTGTCTCCTCCACAACTCCACCGAAAGAGGCCTCCCGCGCATCATTGGTTTACACGGAAAAAATAAAAGTCCGATACTTTTTGAACAGACCTCATATATCCATACTTCAAATGTGTTAATTATGACTGTCCAAAGTGAGGAATATGCAAAGGTATGTTAATGGTGTGTATATACAGATTATGTATATTAACATGCTATAATAATCAGAATTGTAATTAAGGGTTTTAAAGAAAAAATTTTTCTGTTTTAAATAGATTGACAAGTTTAATAATCGTGCAAGTCATATACATATTATGTATGTAATAGCATCTGGTTCAAAAAGATTGTAGTCTAAATGTTTTGTATATAAAAAAAACTATACCAGTTATATGCATTTATTGACCTTTTGTGAGCTATGTGTGTTTTTATAACTTTCTAATTGACTAAGGAGGTGCAATTTGAGCCCAAAATGTGTATCCAAAAACACGTATTAACTGAATTGGAAATAAAGATATGAAGGAATGCCAAGTGATAGTGTTTAAGAAACACACAAGAATAACGACATGGTTTCAGATTAGCCAAAAAAAAAAAAAAAGTTATAGCATGATGGCTCATTGCATAATGCCATTACATGGTGTTAAAGTGCATCTCTCTTGGCCTATAAAAGTGCATAAATACATCCTGTCTGTAGTTTACCTATTATAGAGGGACACTATGTTACTAGAGATGCTCTAACATCACAATTAAAGACCATATGAATGAATTTGAGAGGGAAAGGATGATCAATCAGATTGAGAGAAGCCAGATGGTCATCTTGCCAAATAGCCTGCTACCTAGGCCATTCTGACAACACTATGAGGAGTGTTGGGACCACTGGACGAGAAAGCTCACACATGTGACACCAGGCTCAGGAGTCCTTTGACAGACCACTAATTTGAGAGATCACTGGTCCTCCAACAAGCATGCACACAGCCAACTGTATTGTCCACTATCCAGACATAGGAAACTGTAATGATGGCACCTACATATCTATGTCTGTCTGTCTACCATTTTGAGGCACCTGAGTGAAGAACACTTGGTGTGCTGCCATTGACACCACATGCCATCACCTCTGTTTGGAGTGGTATTTCTTGACAAGATTTGACTGCAACAAAATGGAACTGGGTTGAATATGATTAATCCAGATTCAGTTTGGGCACTGACGATGGTTGTGTTTGTGTCTGAAGACCCTGTGGTGAACACCTCATTCCTGCCTACATTTTAGAGTGGCACACACAGTCTGGGACATATTACATCACATATGACATCTGGTCATCTCTAGTAGTGATCTAAGGGACAATGACAGCTAAGAGGTATGTTAACATCCTGCAGCAATGTGTGTTGCCTCCTGTGGCTGGGTTCTGAAAAGCCATTTTCCAACAGCTTAACCACACACACAGTAAGTGTGTCACAGGACTGTCTTTGCCACATTGCCACAATCCATGGTCTGCTTGGTCTCCTGATTTGTCATCAATTGAACATGTCTGCGATCACCTGGGATGCCAAGTTGGACAGTAGTTTGGCCAAAGTGGAAGACTGCTTGCAACATCTGTGAACTGAGATGTCNTGTGTTTCCTCTCATGGCAGTGTTTTTAAAAGCCATTTTCTAACAGCACAATGCTCAACCACACACAGTAAGGGTATCACAGGACTGCCTCCTGCTTGATCTCCTGATTTGTCACCAATTGAACATGTCTGAGATCACCTGGGATGCCAAGTTGGACAGTAGTTTGGCCAAAGTGGAAGACTGCTTGCAACATCTGTGAACTGAGATGTCGCAGGACACCATACACTACCTGTATGTCCATGCCTGCCCATATCACATCATGTTTTCATGCCTAGAGCTGGCCCAACAAGGTACTAGAACCCACAAATTTAAATAAATCTTCTGCAACATAGTTAAAACATTCAATAGTAAATTACAACACACCACACCAGGAAATACTTAATGGCACACAAGTAACNAAGTTGGACAGTAGTTTGGCCAAAGTGGAAGACTGCTTGCAACATCTGTGAACTGAGATGTCGCAGGACACCATACACTACCTGTATGTCCATGCCTGCCCATATCACATCATGTTTTCATGCCTAGAACTGGCCTAACAGGGTACTAGAACCTCCTTTCATTTGTAGTTTTTCCTGCAATAAATGATCGTTTTTCTTTCATTTTGTAATCATTTATTTATGTCACTGATACTCACACATGTACAATTTAGTTCAATTCCAACAACTCCTCCTTGGTCCACTAACTTTTATGGCAATGAGTGTATTTTAAAATGACCAATTCTTAACATTCTTATAACCATAAATAATAAGTCAAGTTATATTTATCATATATTATTAATATACTTTAAAATATTTTAGTATAGAAATGTGTGTTACTTTTGATTTATTATATGTAGAACAAGTATAGTTAATATTTATTCTGCAAAAGAAAATATATTAAAATATGGTTAAATGCACTTTCACATATTTTAATTTTCTTCTATTTTCTTTTGTCATTTTTCTAAAAAAAAATAATGCCCACAACCTTTTAAGTTCCAGCACTATATTGTGGTGAGCACGTGGTGATGAATGAATTCTCACAAAGAGACAGGAATATAAAACAATAAGATGTGCTTTATTTTACTGTATGAACATATATACAGGAAAGGTTCGTTGATTCCGACCTCCTTGTTCCTCACTTTAATTAAACAAAAGGGAACAAACAACACCGACTCTTAAGTTACAGCGGAGCTAAACTCTTCTTTCGCGTAACAAAGGAGACACTTAATCACTAACTTAAAACTACTTATAACTAGAAGAGGAAAGGAAGGACAGGAATTAGAATAGAATGGGAGAATAAAAATGGAAATTCTTAGTAAGGAACGGGTACCCGAATGGTTGACTGAGGTGGTGGCCACAAGATGATTTCGTCTTGGAATTCTTTTCTTCTATGGGGACGGAGCACATGCGAGGACCCAAAATTCGTTCTTAAATCTCGGCTTTTCCAAAGTTCTTTTTCTCTTCCAATGCTATTTCTATCTTTAGTGTTCTTCGTAACCCTTCCGGCCGAAGCAACACCGAACTCGAGACCGCTCTCTCCGACGGTCTTTCCTCCTCCGGTCCAAAGCCAAAAGTGTCCTTATCGTCCCCCACTTGCCCTCTGGGCTATCTTCACTCCTTTGTCCCGAAATTGGGTCACTGACCACCCACATTCAGACGAAAGTTCCAGAAAGTATAGAAACAGAACAAAGAGAAAGGGGAATAGAATATTCTTATATATACATATATAAAATAAAAACAACAAAAATATACTGGTGTACCACCACAATCGCCCTCCCCTTACGAACTATTTACCGTAGTGAAGCTTACGGTAATCCAATCTATGTCCTCGTAAGTTGTACCGTTGAGGTGGTGGAGAGGGGTTTGGATTAACATTACAATTATCGGTGG